GTGTGTGTGAGAGTGTGTGAAATAGTGTGTGTAGAGATTGGTGTTTGGATTAGTGGATTATGACGCGTTGTGGAGTGTGTATAAAAATTATGCTGGCGAAAAAGATTAAGATGATGATCGAAGATAGTCTCGAAAATGATGATGATAAGAAAAATGTTGGTTTATGATTATGATAATGAATGGAAGATGTTGAAAATGAAAGAATTAAAAACACACATTGAATAAATGAATGTCTATCTATCTATCCAAATGAGGCACTAAACTATATATAACGTTTATATATATATATATATATATATATATATATATATATATATATATATATATATATATATAAGAATTCATACAGTGTATATCTTATACTTTATATCCATTTGTTTGATGCAGTTAAGTATGTTCCTTTTTTGTATATATATACGTGTACTGTACATCTTATATTATGCGTGTTATTATTATTATTGTTGCTGTTGTTGTTGTTATTTGTATAATTTCCATTATTATTACATTTTGCAATAGTTTTCTTAAATATAGCATTAAATATTCCTCGCTTACTCAGTTTTGTATAAATGTATGTAGGTGTGTGTCTTTCTTCTTTGTTTATATGTGTTTGTGTGTATCTGTGTGTGTGTGTGTGTGTTTTTGTGTATGTATTAAATTTTTGGCGACCAGTCTCAAAGAAATGTGACACAAATTATTTTTGGCATTGTCCTTAATTCGTCTTTATTAATATTTTTTTTCAACATTCGAAGAAATTTTTTTTCCTCTCTAAACAATGACACAGTAAATACTCTTTAACTTATGTAATGTACCCACTTGCAAATGACGAAAAATTAAAAAGAGAATGAAAGAGAAAGTTTATTACCACTTTGCAATAGTTTTCTTCCTCTTCTTTCCGTTTTAATGATGCCAAGAACACTGTGTTTTGGCACCTACAAAATGTGATTTTTTTTATTTTTTGAAAAAAGTATACGAAAAAAATAAGAACTATTATTTCTATTTCGGTTTCTTTTGCTATGTTGTGTTCTTATTATTATTATCATCATCATCGTCGTTATTATTTTATTCTGGTATGCAAAATTTTAGCCGGAGCCGGATTTGGAAAAATGGCCAAAGTTTTGTTGAAGCCGAATTCCGGTACATCTCTGTTTATTACGTCACGTTGGTGTGTTAAATGCTGAACTAAGCTCTTTTATTTGAATTATTATTGTTATTATTGTATGTAATGAAAAATGTCTAAATGCGTTCGTTGAATGAATAACCGATGGGACAAATGGATAGTGAATGAATGAATAGATGGACGGGTGACATAAGGCATGCATGCATGCATGAATGAATGAATGATTAAATGAATGGATTGTGAGTTGATGAGCAAATGATTGATTGAATGAATAAATAAATGATTGAAGGAATGAATGAATGAGTGATTGAATAAATGGATGAATGGATGTATGAAATTCTAATTTACCTGATTCTAATACTCTTGATGTTTCTCACGAGTTTCGTAGTCTAGCTTTATCTTTGATTCTACTATGTCTCTTGTTACTTCGTTAGTCTTATCTAGGATTGATTATTGTAACTCGCTCTGCTATGGTCATCCTGATTCTACAGTCTATACTTTAAGCAAAGCTTTTAACTCCGCAGCTCGTCTAGCTGCTCGTGCCCTTTTTTTCTCATATATCTCCATATCTTGTTCTCTTGCACTGGCTTCCTATAAAATAATTTTTAAAATTTGCACATTTATGTATAAGTCTCTAAATTATTTCCTAAGTACTTATCAGATATTGATATATTAATTGAACCTAAACGTCCCGGTTTACGATCGTCTTCTTGTTCTGGCTTCTTCTTAACTCGTATTAAACACTCTTGCTAAATCTACTTTTGCTTTTTCTGGCCATTTTCTCTGGAACTTTCTACCTACTTCTCTGACTACTTCTCCATCACTTACGAAGTTCAGAGTGGATCTCAAGACCCATCTGTTTGCAAAATTCATTAAGGAGCGCTGTTGAACATCGCGGAAATAGCGCTTTACAAGCTAATTGATTGATTGACTGATTGATGGACCGATGGATATTTCAATGGATGACGAGTAAAGGAATGAATTAATTCTATAAAAAATTATTATTTTTTTAATCATTATTAATATTATTTTTGTTATTATTATTACATTTCAAATATGGACAGCTGCAATCGTATTTTTAAACATTATTATTTTGTTTATACATCTCCGTGTTTGTATGCGTTCTTATACTATCGTAATACACATACACACACACACACACACACACACACACACACACACACACACACACACACATATATATATATATATATATATATATATATATAATTAAACATTATGATAATTACTGAAGGTCATCTTATGTTAATAATGAGACTTACCATGTTTACATAATGACGATGGTAATGTGGCGATAATAATAATAATAAGGCATTATTAGTATTGTTATTGTTTGTGTTGTAACGAGGAACATACAGCGAAACTCTATACACTTATTGATGTGGTGGTTTTATGAGCATCTAACGCTTCATGGATTTATGACCTGAATTTTGCTTAATTTGCTTGAATTAAAAAATTTTACAAAAAACATTTCGGCGTTATGAGCTGTGTGTGTAACACATTTCTATTTTGTCATTCATTCTTTCATTTATTCATTGGTTTGACCGACTGACTAAATGAATGAATTATATAACTATTAATTCGATAATTCATTTGTTCATTCATTTGCAATTCACTTTTAAAGCATTATTTAAGCAATTAATTAATTTAACCTTTTAATAAAGATATTATTTTTTGTGGTGTTTCAATTTTTGTGTCGGTTCGTTTGTTTCTAAGTTTGTTCGTTCGTTCGCCTTTCATTTCGTTTGCCCATTTGACGACGAAAAATATTTGTTATGCATCCAGATAAAAATGACCCATTAATCAATTAATGGTTCATTTTTACTGTAACTCCGCCGGAAAAATTTTGTTATAGACAAATTGGCGCCTGCTACACGTTCCCCCCTGCGTCCGGGGCGACCGTCTCCCTTAAAAAAGTAAAAAAAATGTTTAATTATAGAGAGAATTAAATAATTGATAAGAAAATAATTAATTAATTATTTCATTTAATCTAGTAATATAAGTAATATAATCCAGTTCAACCAATAATTATTAGTTGAACTGGATGAAATTTTTTACATTCATTTTTCTATTTTCATTATTAAAACCATTATAAAACCATTCGGCACTAATTAGTGACGGATTTTTGTTTGGAAACTTAGTCAAGGCACCAAGAAGAGTCACTATGCACTTCCTTAAAAAGCACTGTTTGTAACTGCCAAATCGATAATCCAACTCACCCTAACCCAACTTTCCCGGCACAGCCCTACCCGAATCTACCCTTAAAACTCATCCAAACAAAACAACAATTAATGTATTATGATTATTCTTCATAATTTATTTTCTTCCATGATTAGACATTATTTATAAGTAATTAAATATACATACATACATATGTACATACAAGTAAATATACATACACACATACATACATACATATATGTAAGTAAATATACATACGTATATATATATATATATATGTATATATTTTTACAATATTTATGAATATTACCAACAATATGTATATATATATATATATATATATATATATATATATATATATATATATATATATATATATATATAATTCTAATTTTTTTTATTATTTAATTAAAAATAGAAATCATTGAAAGTGCGACTGAGTACCTCAATCTAGAACATAACAGGATTGAATATATTATGATTTAAAATTATATGTATAATAATATATAATTATAATAATAATAACAATAATAATAATAATGATTGTGATTATGGGGAAAATAACGATGACGCAACTATGGTGATAATGATGATCTTTACAGATATACATACATATATATATATATATATATATATATATATATATATATATATATATATGCATATATGTGTGTGTTTCTGCCAAAAACTACAAAAACCCAGTGGATACAGGGTGATTTCAACGATAAAAAATTTATCCAAGGATGGAAATTCGGTAGATTTTGGTAGATTTAATAGATAACTTCATTAATTATGGTCTTTTACCAGCACATATATATATATATATATACATATATATATATAATAGTAATAATACTGAATCAATAGAAACATATTAATGATTCTAGTAAGGAAGAAGGACAGAAGTAGTTTAATCATTCATTCATTTATTCATTCATTCTTTCATTCATTCATTTATTCATTCATTTATTCATTCTTTCTTTCATTTATTCATTCATTCTTTCATTCATTTAATCAATCAATCAATCATTTGTTTATTTATATATTTTGTCAATCATTTATTCAATCGGTCAACCAATCAATCTTTCATTTAATTATAGACACATCGTCAATTAAAATATCGCAAAATGTTTTTTCAAAAATATGTAAATAATAAATTATTATATTTATATATTGATATATATAAATATATTTATATATATTATAATTTTAAAAAATTATTTTGAAAAATAATGTGCTCTAAAAAATTTGACACAAAAATTAATGATCATTCGTCTGAAGAGTAAAGTGTTGGTTTCATGTATCTATATGTGTATCTCCATATATCCAACTAACCATCCATCCATCCATCTATCTAGTCATTCGTCCATTCATCCATTGTACACACATATACGAGGACATACTAACAAATGTATGTATGTACACAGCGATATATAGTATAGATACAAACATATACATACATACATACATACAACGACTTTTTGGTCAGGGGCTTTCAGAGGGCAAACATACCCACAATTAAAGAACCCACGGGTCTTATGGAGGAAGGTAGCCTCAGGCCCGATGGATTTATACTATTTCACCATGGGCGCAGGGACGTTCCCTTGCTTGGGATGTTACGTTCCCTCACACCATGGCTGAAAGGTACATTAATCTTACCTCACAGGAGACGGGTGCCGCTGCCTTAAGAGCCGCAGACTTTAAAAATTAAAAATATGCGGCTCTTGCAGAAAGCAAAATTTTTCAGCCAGTCTGCATTGAGACCTTTGGTCCAACCGATGCTCACACTCAGAGTTTTCTGAATGAACTCTGTAGCAGGATTGTAGAAGTATCGGGTGACCCATTAGATAAGAGTTATGTAAAGCAATCCTTTTCTATTTTACTTCAAAAATATAATTCTTTCTGTATTTTGGATGGAGCGTTAAAATACCTGTCTGTGCGAAGTGTTTAACATAGATTAAAGCTGAACCCGGATATGATTATTACTTCCCTATAGTTCTAATCAATTATGGGTTCATACATACATACATACATACATACATACATACATACATACATACATACATACATACATACATACATACATACATACATACAGACAAATTTAGTCAGACGCTTGGCTTTTGGTGTCATTCGTCAATGATTTGGTTTTAACATACATACATACATACATACATACATACATACATACATACATACATACATACATCCATAAAAAGGTTCAAACATGCATGCATACACTTTCATATACAACACATACACAATGATACATACATACATACATACACAATGATACATACATACACACACACACACACACACACACACACACACACGCTTACATACTCAGATACAGATACACAAACGTACATACAAACAAACATACAAAAACTTATATACATACTAATCGCTGCATTTAAAGTAAAAAAATTATCTATAAACCAAAAAATAACCAATCAATATCTATCAATCATCATTATCATCATCATCATTATTATTATTACTATTGTTGTTGTTATTATTATTATTAACAATTACTATCCTTATCAACCAATCACAACGCCGTATTGGAGGTGAACTGATTTATAGACACGCCCACACTTTGGCTATTGGGTATCCTAGCGAGATTGTCATGCCCGCCATCCTTGTCGCTCCGCCCACTTTCTCTGTCGCTACTCTGTGCTTGGCTGTCGCTTCTCACGTGACAGTTGCCGAAATTTTCAGTCAGGGTTTGAAGTTCAAGGTCGTATTTATTCTCCATTTGCTGCCTCAACTCTTGGCACCCTTTCTCAAGCTGGATCCTGTCTTCCGCGATCTGTTTGTTGATTGGTTGGTGGACGGGTTGATTGGTTGGTTGACGGGTTGATTGGTGGGTTGGTTGGTTGACTGATTGGTTAGTTGATTGATTGGCCAAGTATATAAATAAAACTCAATCGATAAGTGTTAGATTTGTTAATTGATTGATTACAAATGGTTGATTAATGATTGACCATGATCAACATCCAATGAAATCGATTCACAATGCCAGCCGTCAATTTACTCACAACCAATCAGGAACCACGTCAGACCAATCAACCAATCAGGAATCGCGACAGACCAACAAGCCAGGAACCACATCAGACAAACCAACCAATCAGGAACCACGTCAGACCAACCAACCAATCAACAACCAAGAAAACCTTACCATAAGGTAATTTATAACACTCCCTTCATTCAACAAACAAACAGGCAGACATAAAATGAAAGCTAAAAGAATTTTTTTTAAAAGTTATTACAAATGCAGTCATAATTTGAAATAAAAAATTTTTTATATAAAAAAGAAATAAAACACATAACCAAAGACTAGAAAAATAATTTACTTTTTTCTCCAGCAAAACAAATCGAAGAGCGATCTTCTGATTTAATTCTTTGGTATCCTTTTCCTGTTGGAGTTGCATCTGTTGTTTTATCTTCTTCAAATAGTCCTTCAATCTCTTCATCTCGCTGTCCAGTTTCTGCTGAAGTTCGTTCACCTCAGCTGATTGGCTGGCGTCCAAACTCACCTGATGGTATGACGAATGTGAATGGCTGGTGTCCGATGGATGGGGAGGTTGTGATTGGTCGAAAAGAATGATTTTGATTGGTTGAATGTGTGGAAAAGTTGCGATTGGCTCGTAAGACAGTTTTGATTGGTTCGTTGGTTGGTTGGTTGGTTGGATGGATGGTTGGATGGATGGATGGATGGATAGAAGTAATTTAGAATAAATAAACAAAAAATTATTGTAAATGAAAAAAGTTGGCAAAACTCTTTTTTGTCCCATCCATCCATCCAGCTAGTCGACCGACCAACCAACCAACCAACCAACCAGCCAGCCAGCCAGCCAGCCAGCCAATCAACCAACCAATCAACCATCCAACCAGCCAGCCAACCAACCAGCCAAGCAGTCAACCAACAAACCAACCAGTCAGCCAGTCAATCAACCAGCCAACAAACTAACATTCTGATGTTCAATGAGATCCGTGATAGTGTTGTTGTACTGCTCGGCCAGCAGTGAGCAACACCTCAGATGCTCCTCCTTCAACTTACCCAGAGCCTCCTTATGGTCAGCCCTCCCAAATTTGGACAGGATACTCTCCTTCTGACTCTTGTACGATCTGTTCTGATCTTTCAAACTTTCTTGGAATTTCCGTTTGATTAACTGGGCTTGAGTCTGTCCGGGGTTTTTTTTTTGTTATGTATTTACACGCAAGCAGCTGTTTAAATGTATAAAAGCTTTTACGCACATATAACAAACAAACCATGACCTACGTTCAGACTCAAGCGAACACACAAGGACACAAATAAATCTAAACAAACACCCACCTACACGCGCATACAAACAGACATACAAAACAAACAGACATACATAAAAACATACATACAAACAGACATGAAAATATACACATAAACAGACATACCTTCAAATTTTTAGGTATCATCTTCTGCTCGCCAATGTGCTTCTGCTTCACTTCTTTGAGGGCTCTCTGTGCGTAATCCCTCTGGTTCGAAAGCTCCATGTCGTGCTGCCTGTCCATCTGCTCTGACTGGAGTCTGGTGTTTGTTTGTTTGTTTGTTTGTACGTTTGTTTAATTGTACGTTTTTAGGTGTGTTTGTTTGTTTGATTGTTTGATTGATTGATTGAACGTTTCTAGGTGTGTTTGTTTGTTTGATTGATTGATTGTACATTTTTAGGTTTGTTTGTTTGTTTGTTTGATTGTACGTTTTTAGTTGTGTTTGTTTGTTTGTTTGGTTGATTAGTTGGTTGGTTTGTTGGTTGTGTGTTTATTTGGTTGGTTGGTTGTGTATTTGTTTGGTTGGCTGGCTGGTTGGGTGTTTGTTTGTTTGGTGATGCAACCTTTTAATTTTCTCATTGTTACTGAGTTCAAGTCGTTTGATGAGCTCGTGGTGGTGCAGCCAGGTTTTTGTGGTCGCCGTGAAGTGCGTCTGCTTCATCGTCAGTAGCTGGCGGTGGCGATTATAATGGCGATAAAGATTTCAATCACAACCACGTTGAATGTGTGCTATTTGTCATCATCATTATTACAAACGCTTCATTCCCTCCACGAATAGTCTAACAATTTATTATCATTAATACAGTTGTCATCATTTTCAGAGGTACCAACTATACAGCAGACACACGCGCGCACACACGCACACGCGCACACACACTCACACAAACACACATTTCACACACACACAAACACACATTTCACACACACACAACACATTTCACACACACACAAACACACATTTCACACACACACAACACATTTCACACACACATAAACACACATTTCACACACACACACACACACAACACATACACATTTCACACACACAAACACACATTTCACACACACACAACACATACACATTTCACACACAAACACACATTTCACACAATAGACGAGGATTACTGTGCATTCGATGCAGGTTACTTCAGATCAGAACCAAATGCCTTTAACCAAAGCATCACCCAATTATCATCATCATCATCGTTATCACCATCATCATCGTCGCCACTAACTTCTTCAAGGAGCTTGCTATCACAATTCTTTCTGTCCATTAAATTTTTCTTTCTGTGCTTCAGAAGCTGGTGATGATGATGACGATGTGATGATGACGACGACGACGATGATGATAAGATGTGGGGATGATGATGATACGATGGTGTTGCATGGTATGTAATGATAATGTTGTAACAAGAAGCCTAGACAAAAATATCACCACCATCATCACAACGGTTATCATCATCATCATCACAATCATCTTCTTCTTCATCATTATCATCACCTCCTTCTCCACATCAGCTTGTTGTCTCCGAACGAGGTCGGCTTCAGCGTCCAACTGCTGCTGTCGCGTCAGTCCGCCATTTTCATTGCTGCTGCTACTTCCGGTATTACCACGTGACGGCGTGCCCGGGAAAACCTAAAATCATCATCATCACCGTCATCATCATCATCATACACACACTCACACACACAAACACACACCCACACACACACACACACACATACAAACAGACAGACAAAGAAGCATACCTTGGATTTGCTAATCAAATCCTTTTTGAACTGCTTCAGCTCCTGGTCCTTCCTCTGCTCCAGAAACTTTTTGATGCGAGATTCGTCAGAGGCTGATTGCCTCATCAGCTGATATTGATGATGATGATGGTGACGTTACGGTAGTGCTGATAATGATGTTTGTGACGACGATGATGGTGATGATGATGATGTTACGGTAGTGCTGATAATGATGTTTGTGACGATGATGATGATGATGTTACGGTAGTGCTGATAATGATGTTTGTGATGATGGTGATGTCATGATAGTGCCGATGATGATGTCAAATGGTAAAGAGTAAATAGAAACGTTCAAATTGTTTGAAAGGAGCAACCACACAACGCATGCAAGCGCACGTGAACAAACGCCTAACGAGCAACACAGGAGCACTCCCAGACCCATTAACCATTACACCACCACCACCATTACTCCACCATTATCAGCATCATCATCAGCATCATCATCAGCATCATCATCAGCATCAGCAGCAGTCCTCACCCTTTCTCTTTCTCTTTCTTGCTTCTGCTCCAGAGACTTCACCTCATTGTTGATCATGTTCATCATCGTGTCGTTCTCCTTGTCTAGGCGAGCCCTCAGTTCGTCCATCTCGCACTGGCATTTGTACTCCAGCTGTTGGCGTGTGGTGGCGATTGTGGTCGCGATTGCGGCGATGATCGTGACAATGTTGTGATGAAGATGATAATGTCATATTTATTTTATACATCTTGAATTATGTAAAGGCTGGAAGCAGACAATAATTGATGCAGTATTTGATAAAACCGACCGAATGTTTAGCTTTTGAAAGTTTGCGGTTGAGATTTACTGTTAAAAACATTGAAAACCTCAACCGTAAACTTTCAAGAGCTTTAAATTCGGTAGATTTCATCAAATATTACATTTTGAATTGTACATATCTTAAATATTTAGTAAATTAAATTTGTGCACAATCTGTTTTGGCCTTCAAATGTTTACTCACGGTGGCCCACACAAGACCATTAGGTATTATTGTCTTATACCGGTACCAGAAAATCAGCTAAACTCAAGTTACATTTTATCACTTTGTGCTGATTCGTTGGTTGATTTTGAATAAACAAAAAAAATTGAAACACACCCCCAAAAGAGCAGCCCCACAAACCACCAAAAGAGCAGTACCCACAAACCACCAAAAGAGTAGCCCCACAAACCACCAAAAGAGCAGCCCCTCAAACCACCAAAACAGCAGCCCCACAAACCACCAAAACAGCAGCCCCACAAACCACCAAAACAGCAGTACCCACCTGTTGCAGCTGTTTGGCGTGTGCCCTCCTCATCTGCTTGTAGCCTGACATCTGCTGACGCATCATGTTCTCCTCATTGTGATCTTTCTGCTCCTTCGTGATGACAGATGTCGGACGAATAGTAGAGAAATTTCCCGCGGGGCCCACCAAGCCCCCGAATTTGCTGCCCCCCATTTGAAGAATCGAAGATGATGGTTTCGTTGTTGGCGTTTGTTGTTGTGTTGGTAGATTGCTGTTGGCCGTGGTTGCGTCCGGGGTTGATGTCGTTGTTGTCGTTGGCTGTGGTTTGGTGAGAAATTATTCATGTTTTGGTTAGTTTTGTTGCGTTGTTGTTGTTGTCGACATGCATACGAATCG